TGCCTTTTTCCTACAAAGGGCTCAAGGCAGCTTACATCTCTTCCTCCATCTTATCCCCACAACAACAACCCTGTGAGGTAGGTTGAGCTGAGAGTCTGTGACTGGCCCAAAGTCACCCAGTTGGCTCCATGGCTGAGCGGGGACGAGAACCCAGGTCACCTGAGTCCCGGTCCCATGCTCTTAACCACTGCACCACACTGGCTCATTTAAAAAGCTATTTAGAACAGTTCTTTAGTTAATGCTGGTTATAGTATGCGATGGCTGTAGGTGGAAGGGACTCATTGGAAGAAATGCTTTTCCCTCTTTGTTTTTTGATGTAGTTACCAGTTGAATGGTGTGGATCTTAGTTTCTGCATAAATAGCAACTATTGGTTCCACATAGGGAATCACATATAATGTGAATGTTCTTGCATAAGGGTTGTAATAATGGGATTTCTTTACATTTTCCCCCACTAAAGAGGACCAGAGCAGGCAAATGCATTTGGCATAGTGCTAATGTGTATATGTGCAAGCCTATATATTTAGAAAAATTAGTACTGTGTGTATGTACTGCCATAGATGTGACGTAACATAGGTGGACATTTGTGCCTACTAACTTGCTGTTCTGACTTAGTGAGATATTGGTATTTATATGAACTTTGGATTATATTTTGGGAGATTTCTTTCAGCCAGTCTTGTAGCTGTTGATTCTGTCAATCAGGACCCGGGTTTACGTTCTCTAAAACTGTCAGACTAAACGTTAGGCAAAATTGGGGAAGGAAAAGACCCTCTTAGTTTTGTTTCCCTTTTGTGGACCTTTTTGAATGAAGGCAAAACAAATCACAAAGGCTGCTTTGAGAAGCTGTTTCCATAAAAGGCGGTATATGTGTGTGAAGAGTTTTTCCACTCACACGTTCCCTAAACACAGTTTTAGTGAATGCCATCAGTGTGGTACAGCACAGCTCCAACCTGATACCTGCAGATGGATCAAATGATTACTCCCACTATCTCTGATAGCACTGAATGATGGGAGCTGTAGTCAGACACATCTGGGGAAAGCTACAGCAGAGGGGCTTCCTACCAAGTGGGATGTGCTGTGACGCTGTCTCTTTAAGAGCTAAAGGTCTCTGTCCATCCAGACAGACCACAGCTCCAGTTTCACACTGATGCTGTTTCAGGCATTTCATTAGTCAGCTTGAGTGATCTTCCCATACCATATATATTTTTTACACTACGCTCTTTCTTGCTAACAAGTTGCACTTAGTTGCTTATCTAAAATCATGGATCAATTCATTATCTAAACACGAAGCTTCATTGCTTTTTGAGGTTGTACTATGGCTGTTTGTATAAATGTACCCATTTCATTCAAATCTTGACATGGACTAGCTTCCTCTGATGTAGTTCTCTTTTTGTAAGCTCAGGTTAGTATTGGAAAAAACTGTGAAGACTGTTTTCTAGTATTAATTGCACTGATTCAGGGTGCAACCCTGTATATTTCAATGTGGGAGCAATTTCACCGCATTTCCAAAGTTCAGCCCATAAGTCCCATTGCCTGTATAGTAAAAACTGCATCACCCCCACATGCAGTCCTTGAAAAAAGTATCTATAGGAATAAAATTATTGATGAATTATGAGTTGTCCTTGAACCCAATAGGGGCTTCTAGGTGATTTACTGTTAAAAATTGCATTGTATTTAAAAAAATTTTGAAAGCTATGGCACTTGAAAAAGAAAACAATTTGAAAACCTTGAAAGAACCAATTTAAAACTGTAAAAACAACTGAAAAATGTTATAAGTCCACAAAGAGGGGAAATGGAGAGGAGAGAATTTTAAAACAAAGTGCAGACTTAAGAGATGTAGGGTGCAATCCTATGTATCTTAATGTGCATTGAACTGTACCCTTAAAATCCTAACAAGCTATACAGAGCAAACCTGTTTTAACAGTGCACTTAAAACAAAACAAAGAAGGGGGCAAGGTACCTTTCTCCAGGAGAGAGTTACACAGCCAGGGTGCTGCCACAGGGAAGGCCCTGCCTTGTGTTACTACCAACATAACCTCCCTTGGGCATGTGAGACATACAAAAAGGCTTTCAAAGATCTTAAACTATGAGGAGGTTCATGTGGGAGGAAGTGATCTTTCAGGCATTGTGCCCTGAGCAGTTTAGGGGTGTATAGGTAACAAAAATACCTTGAATTGTACCTGGTAACCCCAGGTTTCCACCAAAAATCTTTATGAGGAAGAAACTCCTACAATGGGAAAGGCAAATGTGTACCTTTAATTCCTCCAAAAGCTCAGCTGGATGGGAGGGGCATAAAGCAGAGCATCATGGAGGATGGTATTCCAAACCACTGGCCACACATTCCAACATATTCTCTAGCATTGCATATGATCTTCGGAAACATGATAATCAGTAGTGACCTACCTTTGCTTGTAGCATAATCTGTCAGTTGTAAGTAGCTGATTTTTTAGAATGGACTTGAGAGGCGAACAGGTCTGTGCACTAGTCTGACGTCTTTTGAAACGGGCACATCTGAATGCTGTCAGAGGGACTCAACCTCCATCCATGTGGGTGTTTGCAGAGGATGTGTGGCAGGGAACCCTCCTTCATCGCTAGCCTCCTGGTAGCTGAATCTCTCAAACTATGTATTAGTCCCACTCTTTTTCTGTGCATGCATAGACAGTAATACGGCCCACCACCCCTAGCATGGGTGAGCCAGCTCTGCATAGGATTGTGACCGTCCCTGTGGCCCCAAGAAAAACCTCCTGGGAGCACATTGTGGGTCACAGAGAGAGGTCTGTCGGTGGGCAGAGGCCTCCTCCTTGCGGTGGCGAGACCCTGGATCGTTGCCCTTCAGAGTTTTGCAGCCCCGCCGTTTGTTCATTCCTCACGATTTGAGCGGCACCCTGCCCTGCTCCCAAGAAAATGGCACTTCGACCGCAAAGAAAACCATGTTAGCAACCTTTTGGAAATGCTTAAAAGTATTAAAACACAGCCCAAAATGCTGCCATAAAAGAACACTTCCTGCTGTCAGCCGTGCTGGCTAGGGCTGATGGGAAGTGAAGTTCAGTACTTGGTGGGCATCGGGCGGCTGTGCAGCAAGGGAACAGGGAGAGAGGGAGGCCCAGGCCCAGGGGCAGAATGAAATAGGTCTTTCCCACACGGGCTTGTGCCAACGGGCCCATCCTTTGCCTGCGGGTGTCTACGCATCTGTGTGGCAGCCCTGCACAGGCACAGAATGCCGAGGAGGAGGCAGGGCTTTTACTATCATCATTTTTATGCCGGGCTTTTGTTCATTTACTATTGTTTACTCCAGCCGGCAACCCCACTGTGGCCTTTTTGTCTGGCTGCCCAGCTCAGCTGGCCCACGGAGAGCGTTCTTGTGTGGAGTGGGGCGCACAAGCAGCCATTCTCTCCTCGACATGTTTCTTGCGCATTAATATAGTATACCGTGTGATTCCCAAGGCTTCACTCACTATTTTGCTGTATGCAAACAGTCTCCGTTAAGCACAACTTTTTTCAGGGAAAAGAGGTCCTTTTCATTAAATCCCTGTTGAGGACACTGATCTGCTTCTAATCAGAAGACCTCTTGGGCTTACAGAGCACACAGACCTCTCTGGGGCAACGACCTGAGACCCGTTGTGTCTGTGCTGGGAGGAGGGCACTCGCTCCAAAGGAGCAATCTCATCCATGTTTTCAAAGAACAAATCCCAACATTCCCCAGCCAGCCGTTTAGTTTAGAGCTGAGTTTGGAAAAGCCAGACCCATGTGCATGCCCAGGGCCCTGGAAATATCCTGGATTCAGAATACAGAAGAGGCAGTCAGTAAAAATACTCTGAGTGCTGCCTTTGGGTATGCTGTCTGACCATCATTCTTCCATACTTGGCCTGGAGTTAACTTCAAGCTAGGGTTCATGTTAGAACAACCAGCACCTCTGTGCACATCTGGCAGCTAGAACTAGCCTAGATTGAGCAGAGTGAGCGAGCAGTAAACAAGCACACACTGAGAGATGCCTTTTCACCCACTGTGTGAGTGTGCAGGGAGTGGGGTGTCAGGTTTTGGTGGATCTTCAGGCGGGGTTAGGTCAGGAGAACCTGCGCCCTGGTACATATCAAGGAGCCAGGAACTAGCCTTGACAGGGCTAACAAAGTGAGTGGCCCATGGGAACACCTCAGAGGCTGCCTTTATGCCTATTATTTCAATGTATAGGGACTGAAACCACATGCTTAGTTTGGGATTAATTCCATGTTGGGATTCTGACAATCAGCATCTCTGTACAAGTCCAAGGGTCTAGAATTATCCTAGACTAGGCAGAGAGAGTGATGAACAAAAGCACCCCGAATGCGGTATTTTTGGATATTGTCTGAGTGTATATGCCTGCTCACTGAGTTCAAACTTGAAGTTAGGAAAGCCCACATCCCTCGACATATCCCGGTGCCAGGAAGTAGCCTTTATTTGGCAAATAAAATTGAGTACCCCACAAGATTGGATCGATGGAGCAACCCCCTGGCCTGCTAGAAGGGGGTGTCCTGTGTTCCTAACCTGCCCCAGAAATGAGGGGCGGGCAGCAATTCCATGGGGAGGGGCTGGCCATTTTTACAAGTGCCCTGCAGAAATAGGATTCAGGAAAGCTTAGGCAACACATGTTCTGAAATCACATTGACTAAGTTAAGCCAGGCTTCATAATTATCAGTGACCCCATTCTTTCCTCGGGGAGCTCAGAACAATGTAGTTTAGCTTTCCCTAGTCTCAGAGTTTTGAAACCCAGTCTCCTGGGTCTTGGCCTGCCACGTCATCCCAACCTTCACCCAGTGGGCGCTCTTCACTATTTTGGACTTCAGCACCCATCAGCTTCAGCCAGCTTCACCAACAGTCTGGAATGTGGGAATTGTCATCTGAAACACCCTGAGGGTGCTCTAGTTGCTCCTCTGTTAAAAATCTGGATTTTAATGCCAGGCTCCCGGGTAGGATTTTTAAAAATGTCATCTCGATTCTTTGTTCTTGTTTGGCCTTTGGTTTGCAGTGGGTACCAAACTAGAAGACTCTGTGCAGCCCACCCCAAATCGCTCAACAGTTTCGGTTGTGGAAATTTCACAGAGGACAAAGGTGGAGGAGGAAGAGCAGCCACTTGATCCAGCCACTGTGGCAGAGAATCCCCCATAGGGATGTGCTGTTTTGTCCAGCAACCCCACTTTCTTCGGACTGGTTCCATAGCTCCTGCCCTCTCCTGATGGTTTATGGAGCACAACTCCAGTGAAGCCAGTTCTACATATGAAAATGAGAGTTAGACCAGGAATGGGGAACTTGGGTCCCTCCCAGTGTTATTGGGCTGCAGCTCCTTCGACACTGGCTGGACTGGGTAGATGGGAACAGGGCTGAGCTGGAGCCAGAGGGCCAAGTGTTCCCCAAGGCGATTTGGAAACTCTCTGCAAACCATCTTCCCCAAAGCTGGTGGCTTCCTGATGCATGGGATCGCTTCTCCCAGCGTGCCCCAGTCAGCTGCAGCTGACACCTCTGGAGGGCACCAAGTTGGGGAAGGCAGCTCCTCTGGGGGCTGCAAGGCAGACCACTGTGCCTGGCAGCCTGGAGGCTCCGTTCACAGTTCCCCCCTAGGCTGTGTGGCCCTTCGGTTCAACCTGGCCCCGGTCGCCCCCACTCCCCTGTGCAGTCCAAGTGCGTCACATTAAAAATACTCTGGGGGCAAGAGCAGGCAGTGAATTGGGCAGGGGAAAAAGGTCACCTGCCACGGAGGCACTAATTGGCCTGATGGTGTTTCAAAAAAGATGCGAAGACAGTTCAGGGAAATCGGGCCCAGCCAAACGGTCTTTTCTGCAAGCAAACAAAGAAAAACAGCTGCACAGGAGTGGTGCTCCGCAGCCTTCTCTGGAATGGGCTACCTGAGTGCGAAAACCCCTGAAGTGAAATGGTCGGCTGTTGTCAGGAAGATCACTCTGACATTTGCTGCCACTTTAATCTTGATGGTCCCTGCTGTTAATCCATAAAATTACACAGGAGTCAAAGAAATTGCTCTGTCAAAACCATTTGCCACATATTTAAATAGAGTCATTAGAAGCAGCATTCATAGTTTGTGGCTGACCTTTCGAACCACCTCCTCTGTTGTTGGGTTGTAAAGGAGAATGCCCAGATTTGAAACATGTTGAAAATGTCCCATGGTTCTCCTATGCCCCCTCCCCTGAATCCAGTCCACCCCACCCTCACCTTGGCAGGAGCAGCTGGTGCAACCGGGGGGCCACAGCTGTGAGCCACAGAACACCCCAGCAGCTGTGCTTGGTGAGCTGGGCCCTGTCTCATCCCCACATGTTCAAAGCACACCTGGACCATGCATTCCCAACCAAAATCAAAATGACCACCACGTTGTAAGTAAATAGTAAAGCCTTTATTTTATTTTTGTTTTGTTAAGAACAGGATTTTGAAAATAAAATGTATTTTTGCCCATGCTTTACAACTTGGTTTTTGTTTTCGTTTTAATTTCCTTTCTATGTACAGTTATTATGGTACACATTGATTGTCTTGAAAAGCCTTCAAAAGATGTACAAGATTAAACGGTATGCAACAGTCAGCCAGGGGGGTAGGGGAAGGGGCACATTATAAAAACACACATTAATACATTTAATAAATATATATTATTTAAAAAAAGAGAGAGGCTTGGCTCTCATCAGTTAATAAAAAGCACCTGCTGTGTAATCTGGTAAGATGGTAGCGTAGTCCAATCTGTTCATGTTGCTGTTTTGTTTTTAAATAAAAGCTACATATGTTTCCGGTTGTACAGGCTTTGGTTAGAATGGTGGCTTCAAAAATAGAGTTAGCCAAGCAGGATGTCTGCTCTGCCAAAGCAGATACATTTCGAATCGGAATGCAAAGTGCTCGAGCTGCATCCTGCAAGGTGGTCAACCCACTGGGAGAGGCAGTCCCACGCGAAGACTGATTGCCGGAGCTTCTGGACCCCAGACAGTCTTTGCCACAATCCTGCAAGTTCCACTCCTGGATCCACCTTCCCAAAGGGACCTTGCATGGGGCAGAACCCGTGCTATGGGTAGTACGTTTTATGCAGAATGGAAGACGGGTGGTGTGCTCCCTGCACTTCTCTACGGCTTGGGGCTGATGGCTTCAGTCCTGAAAAACACCTGTTGGGCTTCGAGCGGGCAGCCCTGCTTCCCAAGGGGGGGAAGCCAGGTGCGCCTGCTGGAGTCACTCTGTCGAGGCAAACAGGTGCCCGTTACAGACCATCAAGGAGACGGCACGGCGCAGGGGAGCAGGGCTTGAGCACGCTCTGGGTTTACTGGAATGTAGCTAGCGCACCCAGCTCACCTCAGCACCCTGTGGGCTTGGCTACCCGCTGTCAGCGAGCGCGAGTGGCGAAGAATCAGTGGATGTGCTCCAGAAGTAACACTGCTAAAACAAGCTCGATCGAAAGTGGACAAACAAGCTTCGCACAAGCGCGGCGCGGAGTGGATAAGAACCATAGCTCAGGGTGTCTCTTTTCCAGGTCACCTGGAGGGAAACACCTGGCTCATCTCAGAAGAACCTTATTGTAGCGATGGACTACAGCCCCTAGAGTATTGAATCGCTGGGGGGTTTTTTCTTCCGGTTTGAGTGGCATCATTATTCATCGGCAATGATACAAAGAACATAGTAGCTTTTATGCCTCCCAGAGTAACAGTGGATCCATATCCTGAAAAACTTGTGCTTACTGTTGCAGTTACATTGCTCCTCACCAGATACTCTACATTCCTAATTACTCTCATCAAAAGGCAAAAGTATAAACAACTTTGTGACATTGACAAATATATATATAACTTAACACAAAAGTGCCTTTTTAAAACCGCAGAGAAAACATGATTGGGGGCGGCAGCCATGGCATTGGAAATCACAAAGCACAGATTGACCACATACACACACGCACGCGCACACACAAAAGAAAAAGGTAAATTCATTTGAAAAATTAAGTTGCTGGAGAAATGAATCAATCCCTTTTTATTGTTTAACTGGCACACCGCCCACCGCTACGAAGCATGGGCCGGTTTCACATGAGTGGTTAAGGGAAGTCCTGTGTTTGCAGGATCCAGCCCTGTCTTTAAGATCCCAAACTGCCATTGACTTAATGGGGAGCAGGATTGCTAAATCCCTTCTTGTCTAAAAGAAAAATAAAAATTGAACATCTTAATACATTTCTGACAACTGCCTTAAAAAAAAGTCACTCCCAAGTTAACCCCCGCCCACTCCCAAATGAGTGCAGAGCCTCTTTAGCCCAAGGGTTCAACTTCATGTTAGAGATGCTCTTGTAGGTGGGCGAGCCACCAGCAAAAAGGACAGGGCCAAAATAATTTCAAGCCAAGTCTTATTCAGCTTTAACATGTCTTCCTGCCTGCACAGAGGCACGCCAGCCTATTAGAATGGGGGAAAATGAATAAAGTCAGGAAACCACCGAATGATTGGTGGTTGGAGGGAAGGGGGTGGGGTCAGAGGAAGAGCCCTGGGCATTCTGGGAAACCCTAGGAGGTCCAGTTCAAACCCTGGACTTGAGGTTCTGCACCCCTGTAGTAAAGGATCCAAAAACTCAGCTGGAAAATGGCTTCCTGCCATTTATGCCATTATCATCTTACGCATTCTGTAGCGAAATGATTTCAGAAACCCACTTTCAAAAGCATGTCTGCCTTTTAAAAAATCACACATGCGCGCACACAGGAAAGCACTAACTATATTTTTTTATGTAATGGCAAAATAGTACATTTCCTGGGGAGAACCACCCTACTTGATTGCGTTGAAAAAGACAGCACTATATTTGGTTCAAGGGCTTAAGCAGGAGTCTCAAGAATACTGGGCAGCATGCAATACCCACCTCCCTCTATTTTTAGGTTATCAATGTCTCCCATCAGTTCAAGTCAGATTAATATTTATAATTTTTCCTAATGCATCCATGTGGTTCTTTTCTCAAGAACAGGGTCATCTCGCATGAAAGTAGCCATCTTCATTTGACCATGCACAACAGGAAAAAATATTGCTATTACCTACTCACACCTTAAAAAGAAACTTGCTAAGATGACCATGGCAGTAATGGCAATGCATATATTTTTTTAAGCAACAACACAGAAGGGTTTATCACATTCAGCCAGAACCTGTACCAGTTTGGTTACCAATCAGACCAGCTGTGGCCAATAAAGTTATTTGCAGAAATGAAGGCCTAGTTCTCTTTGAGGTGATGGTAGCATTGTGTCTGGGCAGTGTTACTTCACAGTGACTCGTTTTAGGATCTGGGGCCTAGTAATTAAGAGCGCTTGAATGGGAGTCAGGAGATCCAGGTCCAAGTCCCCACTTAGCCTTAACATCTTCTGGCCCTAATCTATTTAGAGCTTTAAAACAAATCAACAGCACCATGAATTATGTTCAGAAATGAACACGGAAGCTGCCTTATTCTAGATTTAACTATTGTCCGACTAGCCCAATATTCTCAACAGTGACTGGTAGTAGTACTCGGGCAACTTGACCCTTTTGAAAGGGGGAGTCCAGGGATTCCGCCTGGGACAGACATACTTTCTGTCTTTCATACCTACCTGTGCTCTTCCACCCAACAAACAAGATGCACAAGAAGCTGCTGCTAGATTTGGAATGCCTGGAAGCTTCCCAACACTCTTCAAGCCATGAGCAACCAAGGCCAGATCCAAGAGGTACAGCAGAAGGGCACAATCCCTTGGAGATGCCTGCAAGCCCATGAATGGGGTCATGGGTATCCTAGGCAGGGTGAGAGGGTCATGGAAGTGATCATTACCTCCATGCTCTCTTGTTCATTTTGACAGCCAATTTCAGCTATTTAGCCATGATGCTGTGGACAAGGAGGAAAGGAAGCTCAGGTACCGCCAGAATATGTCCTACCTGGGCAACCCAACGATTCTCTCTTCCCAGCCCCCCAAACACTGCTTTTCCCCTTGTCTTCTTATTCTGACCCTGGAAAGTAGCTGGTGGACTTTTTCCCATGTCAGCTGCAAGCAGGGGAACCCAAACATCAATTCCCAGCTCCAGTTGGAATTGTTTCCAGCCTTGCATAAGGGAATCCAAAGAACACTGTGTCCCCATTGTTGCCGCCTCCCAGATGCTACTTAGGGGCCAGAGGTTCACACTCTGTCTGATAGGGCAGAGCATTCCAGTCTACCAACCCCACCTCCACTTCGATTCTTAAGCACCAGATCCTTGAATATAAAAACCTAGCATGTCAAGGCAGAAGTTAGGCTAGTATACTGTTCCTTGACATGCTGCTTTTCTGTGTTCAAGAATATTGCATGTAAGGGTGAGTCCCCTGATGCAATCCGAAAAGATACCACCCAGACAACAGGCTGGTTGTGTCAATGAGAACTAGGCAAAATCATTAGGTTTAGGAAAACAAAGCAAAAAAAAAAAAAAAGTCAGGTACGTAAAGAATCAGAGAAATTTCCCCAAACAAAATCAGTTATCCTTCCCCTGCATAGCACAGCAAAAGGCCCCAGGTTATGCAGTTTTATTTGTTCATACCAATTTTTATTTCCCGTTTGAAAATAGAATATATTGATTAGAACAATGCAAAAGAATTTCATTCTTTGACATACTTTGTAACCTCATGTATGTATTTAAAAAACACGCACACGGAAGCAAACGTCAATGGATTTTAGTGTCTAGGAAAGGAGAGCATGATCTGATGCTGCCCAGCACAGAGGATGTAATAGCGCTTCACATGCCCGATATGCATTCAATGCTAAACAATGAAGGAAGGCTTTGCCGAACATCCTTAAAATCATAGAAATATGAGAAGGCAGCAGAAAGATGAGAACTCTGAGGTGGGGGGGTCCTGCTTTTCCAAAACCCATGTGAAAATAATTATTAAAAACCATGCTCCACGAAAGAGCACCCAAGAAAATGCACAAGCCATTGCTTTAATCAGTGAGGTTTCACTGTTCAACTGGGAAGGAGAGGGTTGGAGCGAGGAAGAGAGCTCAAACGTTGCAAGTCTCCCCTGCCAAGAAGCACCTCAGCTTTCCAAGAGACTCCTTCCTCCTACAATCCATGAGGTGAAGAGGACAATAATTTCTGTGAAATGTGCCGTACATTTTCTTTAACTCAGGCTGGGGAAAGAGACTCGGGATAGCTCAGCTGTGCCGTTCTCCATGGCTTGAGCATGCCCAAGATCTTCCTCGTCTTGGTCTGCACCATTTCACTTTGCCCGCATCGCAACTCAACAGTAAGCGCCACCGCTCTTACGAGCAGCTTTGGCATTGCCGTGCGTGCAAAGGAAGCCATGCGAAATTGGCCACCCCATCTGCACGCGTGCCTGCTAGGCAACTCCTTGTGGTGCCTCATTGGCCAGCAGTCGCGGCTAAAGACCATCGAGGGCTGTTCTTATTAAAAAGAAGGCAGTACAAATTGGCCAACCTCAACTGAAAGCATCTCGTGAGATCCCTTCATTTCCCCTTCCCTTGCAAGTCTCCCTTTAGGAACCCAATGGGTTTACTCGGTGTGAAGGCAAGCCACCAGTGTCTTTGCTTTGTGCAGGAACTTAGCATTAAAAGGTTCCATGATGGAGCTTAAAAAGCCGATTCGAGATGAACCATGCACTGACGTGATTTTTGCCGTGACCTCGGCTTATTTTCAAAAGATGAAACAATCTCATGTGGCAATCTGGATTAAGGGCATTTCTTTTCTTTTATTCTGTTCTTTGCACAGTGATAGGCAGCCGAGCAAAGCCCCAGACTTGCCTTGCACACCAGCTCTGACTTGGAGTGCTCTTGCCATTTTTAGAACCCACATCTGCTTTCTCCCCCCCCCTCCCATTTTTTTAAGAGTGTGCCTACTTCTATTTTTAAATTAGTTTCATCTTATATTTCACTGCAGAGGTTTTGTTTCTGTGATTAGCTTATCAATTTAACAATGCTCACATTTTATTTTATTTTAAACAAGCTATCAGATATGGGACCTCCCAGGCTCCCAGATGGTTTTTCTGCACTCTCGGGTCCTTTTGCTAGCATTATTGGCTCCTCTCCCTCAGAAAGACACACAAACTTCCAGGGAATAAAATCTGTGAATGGATTCTCTCTCCTCCTCTACAGCCTATCAGCTTTGTTTGATTCACCATAGGTGTCTTCCAGTGTAACTTGGTGGAGCAGTTGGTATCTGGAAATGAGGATAATAAATTCATAACTAAGCATTCTAGTCTGTCAAAACACATACCCCAATTAATACCATGAACCCAGCTCTGCTTACAAGACATGGTTTGTTAGGCGCAAATGACCCATGAGGAGAAACCATGGTTTGTTGCTGGGTTACAAACTGGGTTGTTCATCATGGTCTGTTAGCTGGGTTCAGATGACATGATAAACCATGTTTCAGCAACAACCCATAGTTCAAGGACAACCCACCCTCAACCCATACTAAGGGGAAGACAAGCTCCATGGTCTCTGTGGGGGTGGTCAACTTGTGTCTGGGCTGTACCACTTCAGACTGCAGGCAAGTCCTCAAAAGCTCCTCCATTCCAATCACCATATTTGATGGTGCCTATGAACTTACAAAGCAGCCTTATGATCAGTGGGCAATGAAGTCGAATACTCACTACCCAGGAGTGCCAAACTGCAGGCCTCAGGGCCAAATCCAGCCCAGCAAGGTCCCTTGATGGCTGCATTCCTTCCCCAGCAAGGGCTCCATGCCCTTTCTTTCAAACATCCATCATTGGGCGCTTCCTGGCTTCTGTGCAGTCCCCCCCCCCCCACTTTAAATGGTTCAAAATCTTATTCTAAGGCACGGTTGCTAGCAGGGAGAGGTTTAAGCTAGAACACTCATTTTTGTTCCTGCCTCCTTGCCTTCACCCTGCCTACCACTGGAATCTCACCCTTGGGAGCTTCTCTCAGATGAAATCTGGCCATTCAGCTGAAAGAGGTTCAGTACCCCTGGTGTCCTCGGAGTGGCTGGGTTCAGACAGCATGATAAGCAATACTCAAGGATTGAGTATGGGTTGGCTGTGGGCTGCTGTTGCAGTGTGAGCTGTTGTTGCAATGTGGGCCATGGTACTATCTGGACCCCGGTGCACGAACACGCCAAGGCTTGTTAGCCACTAGCAACCCATAATCCACTAGCAACCCAACAGCCCTTCGTTGAACTCTGTGAATTGTTTGCCATGGTTTGTTATCTCAGCCCAGATCGGACAACACGGAAAGCCCATGTTTCAGCAACAGTCATGAGCTCAAGGACAACCCACATGCAACCTGTGAGAGTTACCCTGTTTTCTGAATCCACTCCATGGATCTCCATGATATTTGGCCAGAGGCCTTTCCCAGTTTCGCTGCCTAAGGCCCTTTTCTGGAGTGCATGCAAAGGCCTTGAATCCATACCCTTCTGCCTGCAAAGTATGCACTCAATCACTGCTCCATGTATTCTCCTAGCCAAAAGAGTATGAGTGCAAACCACGCACTTGCAGGCATCTTTGCTTTCTGTAGGCTACAAGAAAGAAGTCCTAAATGGAGGAACATCCTGTTCCATCAGGAACTGGCATCTTTCAGACATAAGTCAACAACCTCAGAGCGTTGGCCAGTGTCTAGAAACGCATGAGAAGAAATCTGAAATGTTGTGGTGTAAGAATCCCTCATCATATGGATGAGGGATATTACCGGCCACCTCTCTTGAATTGAGCCTTCTCTGCTTCAATTATTAGATTAAGATGCCCCATCTGATGTTGATAATTGGTTTGGGGATCCCAGAGGTGGGAGGGACAGGAACTCGGGGAAAGGGTTGGAAAGACAAACTGGTTTTTCAATGATTGAAAGCCCGGTTTTGCAGCAGGTGAAGCCAACTTAATTGTGGCTTGTCATAGGGAGGCAGTCTGGCTTATTATAGCTCAGAATGGTATTGGCTCGGAACAGTATTAGCGGCTGCAAATGCCTTCTCAGCAATGCCCTCCCCTTCCACCACCACCCTGACTGCTTAATACTTGTAGCATCCTGGCTTTCAGCAGCTTGGTTTCACAGTAACCCTGGACCACCACCACCATAATAATAATAATAATAATAGCAGGTTTCCTTATGGAATCAGCTTGAGATTTAAACATAACACAAGGCCAACTCATATGGAGTGGAAGCTAGCTCATGAGCAGCATCTGAAGCAGTGCATATGCATGTATGCGTGGAAAGCAAAACGTGGGAGATGAACAACATTCGTTCTCCTTCAGTCAGCAAAACCGGAGGGAGAGGGCGAGACCGCCAAGCAGGCCGGCAGTTCCTTGGGTGCATTTAAAGATATGCAATGCAAATCAGACTTAAGGAGGCTGTTTGGCTGCAGATCTCCCGCTAAGCTACTCTCCTCAATGACCCGGCTGCAGATTAGCAATGTGGCCTGTGCTCAGTGCCTTGCGGATCTTGGCACGCCTGTTTTGGAAGCGAAAATAAAAGGTGCTGAGCTAGGAAATGCAGCAAGGCAGGGATGTCAGCAGTGGTGAGCGCCTTTCCTAGGAACCGCACGGGGTTTAAAAACTGGGGGGAAACCCTGTTGCACACGTTCACTTCCCAGCATCTTTTCACCAGCTTGCTTTTAGCAGTGGAGGTTACGATACAATTGGTTAATATCTATATGCATATGTAAGAGAGAGGGAGATGCTCAATCCTCAAAGAACCACCCACACAGCAAAAACTTCACAGCCCAACAACAGTCACAGCATTTGCAATCAAGTCATCTTGGAAAGCGTTGCACGTCCTTGCTCTTTGAACCTCCCATGACCACCCCTTACGACCCGCCCTGCCAAATAGGAGCCATCGAATACTGTTCAGAGGTGAGAGCAGAGGTTGTGCATTCAACCTACCAAGGCAGCGTCTTCTAGCGTCACATTTTGATACTTACAGTCCCACCGTTCAGAACGACTGCCATCTCAGTGGGCTGGTAGACATTGCTTCGAAAGGGGGCGCTAGGACGGCTTCCCAAGCTGCCATTGCGAAATCCAGCAGTTCGTAAAGCTGTATGCAGTGGTGGTGTGGGAGAAGATGAAGAAAGAATGTTTGTTTTCTGGTAAAATATAACAAGAAAGAAAAGAAAAGAAAAGAAAAGAAAAGAAAAGAAAAGAAAAGAGAACGAACAGACAGACCCAGGCCTTCCTGGCACAGTCAATGGGTTACCTCCAGGAAGTCCACAGGAAGGGCACGTAAGCCAAAGCTTGCTATTTCTGTAGGTCCCTGTAGTGGAGGAAGGGGTCAGAGGCATTCTGCACCTGCACCTTTTGTGAGCAGGAACCCCAACATTCGCTGCCACCACAACCTGAGAATTCCCAGTTCTCTCTGAGCTTATTGGCATTTCTCAGAGCTGCCAGAAGAAAATGAATTTTCCCAACGCTACATTCTTCCCTGTTGTAAGGCAAAGTATTTTTGGGTGGGTTTGCTTAGAAGTAGATCTGTTAGCCTTACGAAGATGCTCCTGATAGAAGCAAAAACTGCTAGAACTGGTTAGTTGATTTGGTTTGCCCAAATTTTTGGACTCTCCTTGGGGACATGGTTACAGGCACCCTTACATGTATCATGAAATCACTGGTCCCCAGCACTCATGTTCAGTAGCACTCTGCCTTTGAGCATGGAAGCAAAGATCTCAGGATGTGTAAGTGCGCACACACCAGCTGGGTTCAGACAACACAAAGAGCGACACTCAAGGGTTGAGTGTGGGTGAATGTGAGATATCATTTGGTGGCTACTTGTGCTTGAAATGGGGGTTAAGCCAGTTGCCTGAAGTCAGCTGCACTGCTGAACCATGGTTTGATAGTCACAGACAAACCATGAAGAGGACCCCTGGTTTGATGTTGGTTTGTGGATTGTGAGTTGTCTGGGGAAACAAGAGGCGCTACGGACAAGGACCCTCATCGATACTGCAGTCATCAGTCTTCGGTGGCTTTAGCCATCGATGAGCTACAAACAGTAATCAAAATAGTTCATCATTTCCATTGTACGTTGATCTAAGCCACAATCCAGAATAGGAGAGTTATCTCCATACAGGCAGGAACAAAGTAAATGCTGTGATTACTACAGGCAAAAAGGAAATTAGAGGTGACTACCACCCTTGAATTAAATAGAAAAACAGGCAAAGCACAAGCATTTCCCCACAGGTGAAAATTCTGTAGCAAATCCTCCATCACAGACACAGCAGCATCCAAATTACATGGAACCAACCGCTCAAGATCTGCCCTCCATCTAGCAGTATTTATTTCATGTAATGCTGTGTATAAAGACCTAAAATTTGGCAATTTGGCTGTAATACACAGACAAAAGGCAAGAAAGCCCTTGCCTGCAGGCCTTAACACTGAAAAATCAGGGCACCCAAAGGAGTGGGGAAGAGATGGAACGTGAAGAGGACGAACAAAGCGAATTCAAACCTCAGCTCCTACAGTTGTGCTGAAAATGACCGGTGTGACTAGAAACGCAGCGGAGGGCTAAGTGCAGGGGTGAGTGCCTCCTCCCCTTCGCTGTGGCCTGCTGGAACATCTGCTGCAGTTGCTAGACCTGCCGGCAGAACCAGTGAAGGGGGCCCAACAGTTTCACCTCTCCCTCTGCAGCAGCCTTGCGGAACAACTGCCAACTGGCTCAGGAGGAGGAGCCAAAATGGAGGCTGTTCCCTCGGCCGAGGCAACCAAGAGGAGCGGGACGTGTCTGACGACACCACTGGCACAAACAAGAAGGTCCTCCCAGGCAATTCGGAGCCCTGGAAGCAGGGATTAATCCTGGGGGAAGATTCCAAGAAACTCCAGAGCAGATGGATACACTGACAACTCTCATTTATCTCCAGTCGTTTTCCCAAATTATGATGGAGAATTACTGGGGGGAACAGTTCTTTGAGATAAGGTTGGAGTGAAGCGATGATAGCACTTGTTCCTACACAACTTCTCGCCAGACCAGACCAAGGTCAATGGTTGCCCCATCAAAGCACTGCTCCTATTGTTCAACCAAAATCTGCCCTCAACATTTTTCCTAATGTCCAGTCAAAATTCCCCCTCCAGGAATTTTCCCAATGCTCAACCAAAATTTCCTCTCTTGTAACTTCAGCCCTTTAGATCTAGCCCTGCCCTCTTTGTCAAGAGAGATAAAATGTAATGATGTGTGTTTACATGTGTGCACAGGATAACAGCTGTTAGAAAGAGCCTGGCAATTTTCTAGAAAGTTCTGTGCAAACCTCAGGGAAGAAATGAAAATGGTTGGGCAACATCTCGTCGTGCTCCGGCTGAAAATGTCACTGTGTACATTTTTAGATGCTCGGCTAAAACTCCATTAAAAATCATAATAGGGAAAGAAACTTTCAGGAGACAGTGAAACTGACAGATATGTCCATGCCTGTTTATGTCTCCTATTCTGTTTTCTAGACTATTCTTTGTGACATAATAAGTTATTTTTAAACAGAGGTGGCAAAGATATTGATTTTGCTGCAAGGAGTAATGCAGGAAGAGGGGGAGGAGCAGGGGGAGAAAATAGTCAGCATTTCTCAGATCACAAATACTTCACAGGCTGTTATCATATACCTGGGGCAGCAACTTCTCTTTCTGCATTACTAGCAGAAGGGCAAGGAGAAAGCAAACAGATGCACTTTTCAATGTACACCTGACTGTCTGGATTCCATTCACTGAGGGGTTCAATGTAGGTGAACAGCAAATAATCTTTATGGAATTCTACCACTGGAATATATTTGTGATTCGATTGGCTGCTTTGGTAGTGGGCGTGACCTACAGTCTGGCTGGCTCTTGCAGCACAGTCAATTTTGCAATGAGCCATCAGATCTGGGTGTTACAGCTCCATTCAAGGTGCAGTTGGAAAACGACACAGCTTCCATGGGCAGCTGAGAGTGCCCTTTTGCCCTCACCCCTCTGCTATGCATGCTAGAAGGACACATTGCAGGTTTTTCCTTCTGAAGAGAATCGTGTCCCAACAGAAGAGGCAGGAGGCTCTTATGCTTAAAAAGAAGGACAGAACAGGCCAGGACTGACCACGCTGTTCACCGTTTTAAAGTTTGTCCATTTCGTCTTGCCACTTCCATTATGACTCGTAATGAGCTGACCGTCTTCAATCCGCTCAAACTATTGTTATATGTATATATTGCTATTCTATTGCCATTTCAACCCTTTTAGGGAGGAAACATGGCATGTTTTATCTTGGTGATTCTGTGTCAGTTCTGATTTCCTTAACTGCAGATCTTAATTGCAAACCTGCAACTTCACATCAGTTACAGGTGTTTGCTTTGGTAACTATTCCCTGTACGTCCAGTGTTTCGGCCAGAAGGGAATTGCTCACCCACCCGAACCTGGCCAATGCTTTAAATAAAATCACACAGATATTCATAAAGTTAGCATGTATAACAAGTAGATAAAATTAGCACAAACAAGATTAGCACTCTCTAATTCATGGGTATAGAAGTACATATAGAAGTAATTGCAATTTTTATTTACATCTTGCTTTTTGTGCTGCTAGGAAACCTTTACTCTCACAACAGCCTTATGAGGGTCAGTGACTGGCCCCAAGTTATACTGACAGCCAGTGTGGCATAAGAACCTGGGAATGGGACTCGGGCAATCCGGGTTCGAGTCCCCGCTCGGCCATGGAGCCAACTGGGTGTCTTTGGGCCAGTCATAGACTCTCAGCCCAACCTACCTCACAGGGTTGTTGTTGTGAGGATAAGATTGCGAGTAGGAGGAGGAGAATGGTGTAAGCTGCTCTGAATTCTTTAAAAGGAAAAAGGTGGAATATAACTCTAATAAATACATAAATAAATATACTACAGAGGATTTAGTCAGTTCAAGTAAGCAAAAATAAATGCGCACTTGGAGATTTTGCGATGCAGCCCTCAGAGAGATTATTTGAAAAAAGCAGGAAAGTACACACAACAGAGGGGGTGGAAACCAAGCAGTGTAGAGTTAAGAAAAACCGCTCACAAAAATGCATTTATTAGTTAAATTAGCACACAAAAATGTATATGAGGAAAAATGGACACACCCTTTTGAGCAGGATTAATACAAACAAGCAAGCAAAAACTGCTTGTGAACTGATTCATTAATGTAATGGAATGAAATTAAGAAGGAAAAAATTAGAAAAACCTAGAGCTGGCCTTGGGGTTAAGCATGAGTCTGCTTGTTTCATAGCCTCTGCAGCCGTTTTTAAAAGAATCAGTGCCTTGGAAAGCAACTTCTAAATCAAAAGCTCAAACTCTCAACTGAATGTCAGAGGTTCTGAGACGCATGAGAATTGCTTGTTTGATCATTATTGCGAAGAAAGTTCTATTTCTCCTCAACTGTTAAAATTCACTGGTCAACTTGTTGCAGACAGTTCCCCCAGTGCTTCCCAGTCCTCACCATTATGGGAAGATGTCCTGCACATTTATTTAAATGGCAGCCCTTTTTTCTTAAATGTGCACGTGCATGTATACATAAAAATCAGCATGCACACATTTAAGCAAACCTTCACCTCCTTTCTCCTTTTTCTTGAAGAGATGCATTTCTTCCTCTTTGAGCCACCCTGTACCACAGGCTCTTGTACTGTGAAATCATGGAGTCCCAAGGAGCCGGGCATACAGTCTCCAGGCCTTGACAGGGCAGGTTTGCAGGTTAACTAGCCCCTTGATGTCCACCAACTGCAGCCAGGTACAGAAAGCGGCTCAGGGGTGGGAACAGTCTCTTAGGATTAAGGAACAAGAGTTCCTCTGAGCACATGCTCTGCCCAGGATTTGTTTTTTTGCTGAACTCCTGGTATGATCACATGCAGGTTACCATGCCTGCAAATTTCCTCCCATCTCTCCTTAATTTAGAGGAGAGGCGAGAAGAAACCATTTTGTGTTCTTGCTGTCTCCAAACAATTAATAGTTAAAACTTTTGAGCTACTGCTGACATGGAACAGTAGGACCCAATCTGCCTTCTAACCTCCCCCATGCAGAGCTGGGAAAGATCTGAACCAGCACAAATTTGTCTCCCCTCGCAAAAAAAGGGGTCAATTCTCTGCTGGGTCCTGAAGTGACGCAGCATTTTAAAGCTCACTTTATTACTGAAAAACAGCTGCCCCCTGGTTCCCCCCAACCCACATGCTGCACCTCAGAAGAAGCTCTCCTAAGAAAACAGGTGCTTAAAGTCCTACCTGCATTATGCTCGTCCATTGAAAAGGCTTTATTTTCCATGTAACTTCGAGGAAGCTGCAGGTCATCCTCAAAAACAGTCTCGCGCATGCGTGGCTGTGACGTATCAAAATAATTAGGAGTGTTTTCTTGCTGGGAGGGGAGGATGGAGCAGTGAACCTCTGGGATGGCGTGAAAGATCACAAACACCCAACCGCTGGACACCAGCGCGATCGCAAGCGTAGGGTCCCGCCACTGGTCTCTTCTCCTCAATTCCTGATTACCATACAGGTACATAGTCAGCCAAGCCACCCAAATGAGGATGGAGAAAAAGCTGGTGATAATGAGGCACCCTCCGTTCTTCTTCCACTTCTTAAACTTTCCACAGACTGTGAAGAAAGAGAAGCCCAGGGCCACCACCATCAGCACCATCACATAGATGGAAGCCATGGCGAAATCCATCGGCTCATAGCGGCAGGCCAGCTTGCCGTCCCTCACAACAGTCAGAATCAACCATTCTGTCGCGATGATGACTTGGACCAGGGCGAGGCAGATGGCGATGCCGGCCAGCTGCCACCCTGATGGGCTTTTGCCATGCCGGACAAGTCTCCGAAGCCTCCAGGCTTGGGCGAGCAAGCATGAGAAGCAGAGCGCAAAGAGAACCCCCCACAGGAACCGGCGGACTGAGCAGATGGTCTCGTCTTCCTCGATGATGAAGGCGAATGCCAAGCCGAAGAGGCCCAAGCTGCCCAAAAGGAAAAGGAAATGCACTCCCAGGGGACTCTTCTTCTCTTTGTCTTTGATGAACGGCAACCTCACCAGCAAAATCAGCATCAGGAGCAGCGTTGTCAACACGCCCGCCCCAGCCACCGCCTCCACCACAATCCCCCAGATGGCGTCCAAATCACAGAGGTAGACGTACTGAGGAAGGAGATCCAGTCCGCAACCTCTGGAAGTGCTGGAGTTCTCAGAAGATCCATAGCCAACCACAAAGAGGAGTAGAACACCCACAGATGGGAAGGTGGTCATTTTTCTGTCTGCAACCATAAGACCAAGGGATAAAATCAGAGATCAAGATGGTGCTCCACCCTAGCCCCATATCTTGGATTTCACCACTGCTGTGCTGATGGCAATGGAGGATTGTAGGACTTCCGACTGTGTTTTAGGGTGTGCCTTATTCTAGATATACCTCCATTATCAATGGCCTCCTGTGGGTCTGAGACCAAATCTGGAGCAAAGGATCCAATGGAAAGAGCACCACCCAATTTAGCCAGAACCTGAAGGCAAGCATCTCTCATTCAATTCGGTAAATGCAATCTATCGCCCTACATGATCCACTTCTTGGTCAGCCTTGATTAGGACTGGCTTTATACTAGGTGAGGTTTAGTCACGTCATCCAGTCTTGAGGACTTGTGGGACTTTGCTGCTTCTAGAGGTTTTCCACTGACATTGTAACAGCAAGACAGGTGGACGATGGCCTACGGAGTGCAACTGGTTGCAGCCAGCAGAGCTGGTCTGGGAGTCAAACCCCACTGCCCCACAAGGCCTGGCCTGCCTCCCTGCCCCAATGGACCACCCCGAATATGGCAGGCAATGTAAGACCCCAGGACAATGGAAACTCTTTTTTGAACCCTGCAGTCCTGAAGGTACTAAGATCTGAGTGAGTTTAAAATGCAAACCCACCACCTGCTTAGGGTGTTGCTGTTAGTATGGTAGACAACTCTGCAGTTCTAGAAGCAGTTGGAAAATGAGTGGGGGTTGAAGGGGCAGGAAAAAGGAATCCTGGGGTGAGCCTTACAACTGAAGTCCTGCGTGAGGCCCTCTAAAGAATCCTCCATCCCAATAGTGTGATTGCGAGAGCAATACTACCGATCCCAGCTCATCAGGGGCAGGACAAGATGGTAGGGACTGGATTCCCTTCCCTCACCACTTTGCACCAGCATGAAAAGAAAAGATGCCTCTCTGAGGTCAGTGTTCAGAACTTGGAGAGGTCAGACTGAGATCTTGCAGAGGGGCAGAAGGGGGCTTGCCAGGGGGCAGGAGGGTAGAGAGTGGAGCAGACAGGCTATTCTGACTGCTTCCTTCCAGTTTCCTTCCCTCTCCCTCCGAAATTGCCCTTCCGGTAGGTGGAATAAATACAGAGCAGGAGGGCAAAGATTCCCCTCTGCACAGAAAGCCTCCATCATCTGAGCTGGGGGGCTTATGGCCATCCGGACAAGATCGTACCCTAAGTCCAGGGTCCGAAACACCCAGTGCAGAATGCAGCCTCTGTGTGCATGGGGGTGTCTGCAAGAGATCATGTTCCACCAGTCCTTCCAGGGCTGCATCCGCTGCCTCTTCGTCACAGGGCACCGCCTGTCGCAAACCACTCCTTTTGCGGAAGGCAAAGGAGTGGTGGGACACCCGACAATAATCACATGCCCCAGGTGCATTTTTACATCTGAACTCCCCGACATAAAACCACTTTTTCCAATCCAAATAAAGGCAGCCATGGAGGGCAGCTTTTCAGGGGGTAGCCTACCAGTCTGTTTTAAATCTAAAAATCTAAATAAAATGCAAATCGTGAAAGACAAGGAGCCTGGCAGAGACCAAGAAAGTTGCCAGCGCACACCATCCTGGTGACCCCCAGAGATGCCTGACCCCTCCAATCAGGGACGGCCACGTGGGAAAAGAAGTATTTCATTCCACACGGAGCTTTCAAGCAGATACGATCGACAGCCCCTTGGACGGGGGTCAGATGACAAAAGCGCGCATTATTTCCCTGCCTCCGGTTCCAGGCATGCCGTTGTTCAGAATTCAGCACCACGTCTGTTGCCGCAGTGTTGTCTAAACAAACTGGCATGTGACGATGTCAAGGCGAGTTTCCCTCATCCCAAGACATTTCATAGCTACATCTATATATTTCCCGGATACATTATTCATGTCACGTACGCTCCATGTGATCACACTATTCTAAGACAGTCTGTTTCTGTAGAGATTGCCCTGCGTGAGTAAACCGTGGCCAGACAGCTCAACTTTCCTTTCATTTCCTCTTTCTGCTGAGATATGGTTGGGAGGGAATGCAGCATGGGGGAGGGTATGGGAAAGCCCGGGGGCTGGTGATCCATCACTCAGCACCAAACTGAATGATGGCATTTGGGTCCCTGAGACAGAAAACTTGGGTCCCTGAGAGCAGAAACATTGCAGGGTGGAAGGCAGCTGATGCTTCCTCCAGGTTTTGGTGGGCCTCTGGGCATCCAGCAGTTGACTCCCTCCCTGCCAATGTGGCCAACTGCTTTCCTCCTCACCCTTGTGGCTCCGTGGCCTGGTTGCGCCTCCCCTTGATCCCCGTCCTGGAGGCAGCCTCTGCCAGGGTGGGACGGACACCAGGCATGTCCAGCAAGCCACGAGCCTGAAAATAATTTGCTAGCCTTGCCGGAGGCAACGAGCCAGTGTCCCCATGCTGGCTGCAGCAGAGGACACCCCCTGGGTCCCCGGTTCTCCAGGGACGGGGCCAGTGCGGGGCATGAACCTGCTGGCAGGCTAATGGTAATAAAAACCACCTGATTCAGCAAACGGCCTGGCAGGAGGAGGGTGGGTCCATCCACCAACCCACTGCTGGTCACACCCAGGCGGATTCCTCTGGGACGAGGAAACCTTCCTTCCTTTCACTTTAAACCACCTCACAGGGTTGTTGTGAAGACTGTGTAAGCTGCCTTGGATTCCTCCCTGGGAGGGGGCGAGGTAGGATAGAAATGCAAGGCCAGAATAATTTAAAATTGCGATCCTACACTTGTTTCAACAGAAAAAGAAAGTCCTATAACCAGCAGCATCTGGATCCATTTCATCCAGCTTTGGGCTGTGCTTTGGGGTTGAAGCTGCCTTGGTCCAGCAAGTCCAGGAGGGTTGTAGGTTCCTCTTACATCTCCGTGGACCCAGAAACAAACTTGTTCAGTCACGGGTATGGGGAGATTTCTTGAATGGTTCTGTCCTTTCTCTTCAGAAGCTGATGCCGCATACTTCCGGTATGTCGCAGGAGGGGATGTTTCCCATCCCATAAATTCTTTTCCAGATTTTTCAGTCCCACTCACACTATTTCATCCATTCAAGGAACCAAAGGCCTGAGAATACTACTGCAGTACCACTGCAAGCATGAAAAAAGAAGAGTTTTTTTTTTTTTTTAAGAACTCTGCTTTTGGAAGGAGAATCCTCCCTCCCTCCCTCAATGCAGTCCCACAAGGAAAGCTACCCAGACTCGCGGAGATATGCCAGGGTTGCTTGCAGCTCAGATTTCTACCCAATCTTTCCCAGCCAGATCCAAAAGAATAAATGTTGCGAGCCTGATAATTATGCAAACGACAGCTAAGCGGCGATCAGACTGCTGAAGGGACACAGTTCCAGAATGATAATTAATAATGGCAACGTGCTTTGTGTGCAGAAACGCCACGGCGATTTGCTTTTGGTCTGCACCGGGAGGGAGGGAGAGAATTCTGCAATTTAGCGGCTGTAGGAGTTATGACTCTACTCAAAGGCAGGAAGAGGTAGGGCGAAAAATACCACCAGTGTATTTTTAGAACACAGAAGGGCCCCATCTGAATCCAAGAGGGATGTCTGGGTCTACAACTGGGGCATGCAAACCATTCAGCAATAAACGCGACAGCCAGCCATTTTACTTTGACATCGCATCATCAACTGCGTCTTTCTTTTTGCAGCCACGGGCACTAGCCAGCGACCTGTCTAAGCCAAACAGCAGTTTGGGGTTTTTTTGTTTTTATTTTGAGTTAGGGAGAACCGAAGGACTGCCTTGACTTCACAAGGCCTGTTCCAGATCCCCACATCAGCCTACCCTCAGCTCAGTGGTACCCCCAGTTTGCGGTCCGCCTGAGCCTCACCCTCCCCACACAAAACGGGGGGACCAGTGTGTTGACAAGCCTCCGGCAAGTCATTAAGGAGGGCTGGTTGGCTTGCTCTTCGCCAGGATCGAGGAACACGTGGTCCTTGAGACGTTGCTCGACTCTACCTCCCATCAGTCCCAGCCAGCAGAGCCAATAGCAAGCACTAATGGAGCTTGCAGTCCAAGAGCATCTGGACAGCCACCTATGCCATCCCTGCTCTGCAGCACAAGAAGCCTGTGAAGACAAGGCAGTGTGCAAGTTTCTAAGTTACACAGGACTCTTTCACTACAGATTTTTCCATGTTGACCAGTATTGTCCACTTGAGCCTTCCCCACAGCCTGGTGCCCTCCGGAATCATTCAACTAAATCTCCCAACATAGGAGGCTGGGGAATTCTGGGAGCTGTAGTTTAACACTTCTGGAATGTCTGAGAAAGCTGGTGCACTTTGACAAAGAATGCCGTTTCCATTGCCTGCTCTCTGACCCTTGCGGGAAACAAGATGGGACAGAAAGGTGCTGTTGCTGCTGCTGAGTATCCCTGAGGATATCGCCCTGACCACTTAATAACCACAATTTTGGTATCATACTATCTTATCTTATAGAGCGGGGTTTTATAGAGGAGCGACTATTCACATCAATTTTAAAAAATCATTTCAGGAGTGTTTCTGTTTTGTCTCTAGCCTTGTAGCTGGAGTCCCTCACCTCCCTTGCTGCTGCTGCTGCAGCAGCAGCAACAGGTGAATCCTTAGGCAGAGGAAGAGAATACAGACAGACTCAGGAAGGGTGTCCCCTGCATCTTTCATAGGTCCAGCCCTCCAATACAGTGTGACAAACTTGCCAATACAAGTACTTCATTCAAGCAGAGGAAATCTTGTTATCCTCAAGATAAACAAGTGTAAATAAAGAGGGCTTGTGGCCAGGGGAGTGCTAAGCCCTGTCACGGCGTGTTTTTTAAGGGCAGGATATATGCAAGAGGCACCCATTTACTAGGCGGTGAACAGATTCGGCTGTGATCAGGGCCTCCGCGCCTGCCAGGAGCTTTCTCCTTCTCCACCCCCCCACCCACCGCTTCTCCGCCAAGGTGCCCAGTGCTCCAGCACCAGGCCTAGGGGGATGCTCTCTGTACCCCCACCTCCAGAGAGCAGCAAGATGAAACAAAAGCAGGTGGGGGGGGGAAGCTTTCTGCAGAGGCATCTCCCCCTCTGCACATGGCCTTGAATTCCCAACATAGAGACAACAAACAAATAATCCCCCTCCCCACCATGGCTTTCTCATCAGATCAGGGCCAGGGCGTGAACAGGGAGGCAAATCTTCCCTCCCCATAAACCCTCTCATCAACACAGCTGCCTCAACGCCACACTTAATGCCCTTCATGGGCTGGCACCTTTTCCCCACGGGAGCATCTCTGCCGCTCCCCAACAGCTAAATGTCAAGCTGGCCTCTGGACACCTCCCTTGGATCTGCTCCCCCGCCCCCCCTTATCCAGCCACGCATCTCCCCATCACTCTCCTGGGCTGCCTTCCCCCACCCCACACTTCCCTGTCTGTCCTCTATCCAGCCTAATCCTTCAGCCCGGTCTCAGCTCCAGACAGCCGTCTGCCATTCCGAGCTAATTCTCTGGAGAGAAGCTGTACTGCGGTGGCAGCCATTCAGAGTCGGTGCCACTTCTCCCTGCCTGTGCTCCAAAGATGAACAGCCCCTTGGCACCATTTGCGGGTTAAAAGAAAAGACAAAACCGAGCAGGATGCCTGCCATCTGCCCCATCTTGGGATGCAGCTACTGTTGCTCCCTTGCCTAAAAAAACATTGTATGTAAACACCGCATCGGCCCTTCCCAAATCTGGGCCCTCCACTGGTGTTGGACTAAAACTTCCAGCATCTCTGGACAGAGTTGCAGTTGCCAATATGGCTGGAAGGGGCCAGTTTGGGGAGGAAAGCACTCCATGGATACACACGCAGCTCATGAAACAAGGAGCCCCGCTTTCAGCTTTTTTCCAGAATTTCTTCCTCTTTCCGAAGTCTCTCCCGATCCCTGCATTCAATTTCTATACACAAGAACACTCCTCTTTTGTTGCTCATCTTTTCTCTTACAAATCTGGCCTGGGGAAAGAGTTCTGTGTAACACCAAAGCTTATGCATTGGTGTCTGGAATAGACAGCCCAAAAGAGCACCTTTCAGGATGCCATGTGAAGCAAAGACAATTTCCCTCTGATGATCTTGAGCCTCGGGACGTATCTCAAGGTTTTGACTCCTGTTGGTCATCTCCTTGCCAAGTGGTTTTGCTTTGCTCCGTTTTGTCTTAAAAGCAAGCCTTACACCGGCATTCCGATCAGCTGAAGCAGCAGCTTTGAGTCTTCCAGGCATTTTGACTGCAGCCAGCGGTACACTGGCAAAGAGCAAGCACCGCCAACTTATCCCCCAATGCAACTGCCCTGAGAAAAGAAAGGTGCGCTGTCACAGCTTTTCCCTTTTTTAGGGGGAGCAAAAAAAAAAAAAAAAAAGGCAGTGTTATGTTGAACTGAGCCTTGGGAGATCCAAGAGGCTTACAGGGTGACCCTGGGCTAGTTGAAAGGAGAGTGCAATAAAACTGTCATAAGACAGAAGTAGAGTAAACCCATGAAGAACTATGAAACCTCTCCCATTCCAAGCACACATGCCCCCCACTCTCCAGCTCCATACTGATTACTGGGGTCCTGATGCATAGCAAGACAGTATTTATAGGGGGGAAAAAGGAGAGAGGCGCTTTTGTGTCTGAACACTGGAAATCCACCTGGGCTGGAATCTTACTCAAGCACTAAGTTCAAGATGGGATCCTGGCACAGCCGGTTTCCTCCCACACATTACGAAGACACCCAGGCCTGGGGAGGAATGACCCAGGGGGCCTGCCTGGGTGCTCCCTTGCCAAGGAAGGGCTGGGCCAAAATCTAATACATTTTGTTTCTTCTAACTAACTGCAATTCTGTCGTTTGAGGGGTTGCTACAAAGTGTAGGCTTGTAATTTCAGATTCTGGACTTTGTGATCTGTGGGGTATGAGGGAATGTCTTTCAATGATAATGCGGCCAGATGCAGCCCAGGAAGGGGGCCAAGGGGCCACAACAAGAAGAGATTAGATTGGCTCTGATCCCATGAACAAGGTCTGTCCGAACCTGCAACTCTGGCCAGATGCTTTGGACTTCAACTCCCATCTGCCCCAGCCATCCTGGCCAGCATCCAGGAATCCTAGCAGCTGCAGCCTAAGACATCCGCAGGAGATGAAATTGGGGAGAGCTGGGCTAGGAATCTCTTTCAACCCTGGAGCCCCTGCTCAAAGATGAACCCCCCTCCCCACAAATCCCCCCCAAGGTTTCCTGCCCAGTCTCCCCCTCCCACCCGAGATCTAATGCCACTTTTTTTGTTCTCTGCATCAGGACCAGTCCAACTTTCCAGGCTGCAAACTCCAACACCTTTTCCTCACGCAGGGCCTCAATGCGCAACGAGTCATAAACTTAAAACAGAATCTTACTCCATCAAAGCACCAGTCGTCCTTCGCTACTCCTGTATTAAAACCAGCACCGCCACCGGCGGCAGCACGCGCGGCGGCGCCGTCGGCTCCCTAAAAGCGCTCCTTTCGCGACCGTCGGTCCATCCCTGTCCCTTAAGCCACCGAGGCTGCGATCTCGGGAACGCGCGCGCGCTCCCCGGGAGCAAAGCCCGTCCCGATCTCGGAGCAGAGGCAACGGGGACGGCCCGCGCGGGGACTGCGGCGGCCGGCCTCCTCCGAGCGCGCTGCGGCGCAAGGCTGCCCTGTCCCCGCGCCTCGTCAGCGCTCCGCGGCGCTGGAGTTCCGCGGACCTGACGCGCGGCGCAGCGGCGATGCCCAAGCGGCGCCCCGCTTCCTTTCCCGAGTCCCGCACCTCGAGCCTCTTTCTCCCTCGCCCCTGCGCGCGCCCGGTCGCGTCCACACGAGCTCACCCCGCCGAGAGAGCCCGCCCCCCTTCGCGGCGCCGCGGAGGGGGGCTAAACGACCGCGCGAAGGATTAACACCCCCCCCCACCCCGGTCGTCCATCCTCCAAGCCGGAGCCCTCCAGAGGAGCCGGACTACAACCCCGATCGCCCCGCTGCCGCTCCGGACTGGGAGAAGGCGGGTTGGAAAGATGGGCGGTGAGGGACAAGGATGCCCACTTTGGCACGCGCGCGCGCATCCATGCACACGTTATGCGCGCCCTTTACGCGCGCAGGACCAGCTAGTTCGCGCAGAGAAGCGCGCGCTCGACGGGGCGCAGGTTCCCCTCGAAGGTCCGGGGCGGCGACTGCAACCCCCGCGCCCTCCGCGTTCGCCCATACAACGCCCAGCGCGTTTTCTGTAACGCAAGCTCCTTCGCCTCTTCGGCCCGGCCGCGCCCTCCCTCTCGCGCCCTCCCGTCCTCCCCGGCCCCCAGGGCGAAGGGGCAGGTGCGTGTCCCCCGCGCGCTCGCCCCTGCCCTGCCCTGCCCTGCCCGCCCCGCGCCGCCCCGCTCACCCTGGCCGGCTCCCTCTTGCTGCCTGCGGACTCGGGGCGGGCGAGGAGGGCGCCGGGGCAGTCGAGGCGCGGAGAGGGGCCCGCCGGGCAGCCGCGCTCGTCGCAGGTCACATTGGCGACTCGGGCGCGCAGCGCTGCCGACCCTCCCGCCGCCGCGGCGCCGCAGCAGCAGCAGCAGCAGCAGCCGCCCCGGCTCGGCTCATGGAGTGCGCGCAGCAAGCGGCACCCGCAGTGCCGCGCCGAGGAAGCCCCGGGCGGTGCTCGCCTTTCCCCCAGCGCAGGCTGCCGCCGCCGCCGCCGCCGCCCACCCGCCTGACTCGCTCCCCGCTCGGCTCCCGCTCCCTTCCCGTCCAGGCCGCCCCGCCCCGCCCGGCCAGGCCCCTCCTCCCCCTCATCCCTCCCCGCGGCTCCTCCTCCACTGCGGCTCCCGCGGCCCCACAGCGCCCCCGGCGCGCGCGGGTGGGAAGCGGCGCGCGCCGGCTCCCCTCGCCCGCGAGGCCCCCTGCCACTTCCTTGTCCCTCTGGTGGAGCGGCGAGAGCAGCCTGGGGTTCGCCGGAGGGGGTGGACTACAACGCCCATCACTCCGATCGTCGGGCGCCCTTCGCGGATCTGAGAGGAGCTTATTATGTATTTGCGATACTTATATGCCGCTAGCAACAACGCAGGCCCTCGACGGTTGTAAAATCCCCAAACGGTTGTAGTAGGGGCATTGCGATTGCCCCAAGCTGGTGCCCTCTGGCTGTTTTGGACCATGACTCGTATTGGCTGCAATCACTGGCGGGGCTGATGGGAGCTGTAGTTCAATAGGTCTGAAAAGTGCCAAGTTTAATTTATTTATTTCTCTGGGCTGTTCACAAAGTTGGGGAAAAGTTGGGTTACACAGGTGGACTGTGCACTCTTAGGCAGGTGTACTTCGAATGCAGCCCTGCTGCTTTCGGTGAGGTTTACTCCCAGGTCAGCGTGTGCAAAATGTGGCAGCCCAGAGCAATCCTCGGTGGGACTCGCTTCCGAGTGGGTATAGACGTGATCGCATTGTTAGCGGGAGACTCAGCCAGGGGTTCAAATCCCCGTTCAGCCATGGGACTTTCTGGGTGCACCTTGGTCCTGTGTTCTCCACTTAGCCGACCTTGCCGGGTTATTGTGGGGAGCAAAGAGGCAGGAGAGAACGCCAATGCCAAGCTCCTTGGCAAAAAGGCTAACGTATTTATTTTGGCGTAACATTATTGTGAAATGTCATCCGTGCCTGAGTATGTGTGCAGGAGGCGGGAGGTGGGAGGGAAGTAACTCAGTGCTGCGACGAATGCCAAGTATAACGCCGGGAAAATGAGCAGCAGCATCGCCTGGGGACGGCCCTGCTCAGCGGATGCCTTTCGTGGGCCAGGAAACCATTGTCCTTAGGGACACCCAAATGTTTGTGCCCTCTGAGGACGCACAGGCCAACCTGAGATATTGCTTGGACTGCCTTCCTCAACTGGGTGCCCTCCAGATGCGTTGCATTGGGACTCCCATCAACCACAGCCCACAAGCTCGTTGGCCAGACTGGCTGGGCATGATGGGAATCACCACCAAGCCCATCTGGAGCACATGAGGCAGAGCCGCCGGCTTAAGGAGAATGAATGTTTGGTGTGTAGGAGCGATGAAGCGTGTTTACTCTCTCCTTGGTCTTGAGCCTGTATCTCTGGCTGCAGTCACTGGGCCCTCCTTCCCCAAGCTGGTGTCCTCAAGACTGTTGAACCCCAACAGCCATCATCCCCAGCATGAACTTTACGTGTACACTTCAGTCCTGGCATCTCCGGGTAGGTCTGGGAATGTCTCTGGCCTGAAATACTAATGGCAGGTAGGGGACTCATACCTCTTCCTGTCATTCACAGATCACTGGCCATGCTATCTGGGGCTGATGGGACTTGTAGGCTGACAGCAACTGGAGGGACACATGGTCCTTCCCCCTCCATAGCCAGGTGGGAGGTCGTTGCCTTCCAGTGTAGGTAATCCTGAGCTAAATGGACCAATGATCTGACATAGTGGCTGGGTAACCCACACTTAAGGGCAGAGTCTGGGCTGTTATTGCTGTTGAACCCTGGGTTGTTGTTGAAATGTGGGTAATTGTGTTGTCTGAGCCCAGCTGGGTTAACAAGCCATGGTTTGCTTGTCACAAAGAGCCCAAGAAGAGAACAAATGGTTGTTGCTGAGTTGTGAACTGTGGGTTGTTTGTGGCATGGCTTGTCAGAGTGGTTGGGTTCAGCCAAATGTGATCACCCTCATTTCCACGACCACTTGCACAACCCGTACTCAGCCCTTGAGAGTGGGTTGTCGTGTTGTCCGGACCCCATCAGTTTGAGACAGGGATTACTCTGTTCCTATAAATCTTTTCCATCTGAGGGATAAATTCAATTTCAGAGAAGCATCCAAGGGTCCTAAAATCTACCATACTTTAGCTGCAATCCCTTTCTGCCCATTCTTCGCCTTTAGGAGAGACATTGCAATGTTTTAGACCGAGGGAATAAACTGCTGGGAAGCCACTAAATTTCTTACGGCTGGGGAAAAGCAGGGACAAGGCTGTGGCTATCTGGGGAACCTGGAGAGCAGGATTTGACCCATGGCCTCAAGGTCCCTCACTTCCAGTCATGATTGCTTTCTTGCCTCATTCCATCCCTGTCAGAAAGCTAGTTACATATATTTTCTTCAAAAAATAACAACAACAAAACACAAAGCATAGATTACTATTTTTGAAAAGTGATTAAATGCATGACATTTAGTCTTGAGTCCTGAGTGGAGTCCTCTTGAGTCCTTAGTTGGCAAATAGATACATCTGAGAATAAACCATCCTGAATATTTGCATACAGATGGAAATAGAATGTAATCAGGGAGCGATCAGCTGTTAGTAGGAATTATCCACGAACACGGAAGTCTGATGCTTTCGGAGCATGTGGCAGATGGTTGGAACAACTTTGCTTCAGCCAGTTTCCAGACTGAGCGCTTTAGTGCTACTCTAACAGGCTGAGGCCAGAATCACAATGGGGTTCCCACACTTTGGCACAGGGGTGTGCGATCCCTTCACTAGAGGCCACATTCCATGATGGAGAAACTCTTGGGGCACCTCCTAGTGGTGAGCAGGACCCAAGAACAAACGAAGGAGTTAGAATGCCAGCATACCTTAGTTTACTGCTCTTTCTGCCAATAACTAAGCCTGTAGGAGAAGCATTCCGACTTTCGGAATTGAGGAAACACTGTGCAGAAGCCAGAAAATCATCAGGCAATCGGTGGCGAGGAAGTATGAGGAATCCCTGTTGCCAGTTCTTAAAGTTTTGGAGTACAGAGCCGTTTCATGACTGAAGTGATTCAGATATCTGATAGTCAACATGCTGCCCCTGTTCACACACACGCTTTGCTTTAACTGGGGGGGGGGGGGGAATGGGGGGATGGGGACTTTAATTTTTAAAGGAAATTAAGGTTTTATCCCTGCTTCCTTTGATCTTTCCGTCTTTCAGAGGGTGTGGGGGGAAGCAGCAAAGTGGTGCCTCTGAGGGATAACTTTTGTGAAAATTGTCCTTGGTTCACTCCGTGTTACACAAATTATTTACTGTATATTTTGATGCTGTACTTTATTGTATTTTATTGTATTACCACCCTGAGACACAGTGAAGTGGGGGATAAAAAGCTTCAAGCAAACAAACAAATCTATGTGATGCTTAGCAACACTTTTAAAATTTCCATGCTCCGTTAGGGAAAGACTAAAGGCATGGGTGCATGGTGTTAATTGCTTAAATCAAATAAAGAAGAAGAGCCAAAGAGGTGTAATGGTTAAAGTGTTGGACTGCGGCACAGGAGATCTTGGCTCTAGTCCTCACTCAGCCATGAAGCTTGCTGGGTGGGTTTTGGGCCAGTCACTGGCTCTCAGCCTAGCTTACCTGATAGGGTTGTTGTGAGGATAAAACCAAGAGGGGGAAGGTTATCAAAGCTGCCTTGGTTTCCTCCCAAGAGGCAAAAAGGCAAGATATCAATGTAATAATAAACTTCCTAAGATTTACTGGATCGTACCCATTGTTAGACCTACATAGAGCAGAATCATCCACATGCTTGGGACTTTGGTTAGTGGTGATCTTTCTCATTCATTTCAATGGAGTAACTTTGTAAAACTGCAATTGCATTCATATCCTGCCTTTATTTCTCCAGGGAACCCAAGGCAGCCTACAAGATCCTCCTCCTCCCCCATTTTATCCTCACAACGCCCCTACAAGGCAGCTTAGGCTGAGCTACAGCAACTGGCCCAGTTACCCAGTGAGCGTCATGGCTACGTGGAGGCTAGAAGTCGCATCTCCTGAGTCCTAGTCCAGCGCTCTGACCCCCATGCCACCCTGAAGGGGCAACATGCTGGCTCCTGCCAGGTTGGCTCGCGTGGGATTCCCTGGCCACTGGTTCCGAACACCCGCATAAGCAGTTGCTGTGGCTTAGCACCTGCTGGCCCCCTCTGTCGCAGGGCAGCGGCATCGCCAGCCCTGTTCCCGGCTGACTGGTGCAGCTCGGCAAGAGCTCAGGAGGTGGAGCAGTACCACGGACAGCTCCCACAGACCGCATGACGTCGCTGGCTATACGTCGGGGGTGTTGACCCTCTTTCAGCCCTAAGGCCAAAATCCATTTTGGAGAAGTTCTCAGGGGCTGCACTCCAGTGGTGGGTGGAGCCAAAGGCTAAAGGGAAGGGCTGAAGGACCAAAAATACAGCATATTTGAGCATAAAGCTCTTATCTGTTTGTTTGTTTATTTAAAACTTTTCAATACCACCCCGTCACAGATGTCTTGAGATGGATTACAGCAAATTAATACAATAAAATAAAAATAAGGGTCACAGTTGCACAGCGGCTTACTCCTGGTAAGCTTAGGGGGTTGCTTCAGCAAGAGCAATGGCAGGGCAGGGCAGGTGCTGTTTTTAAAAATCAGAAATTCTGGAAGGGAGCAAAAGTTGCAGAAGATGATCTCAGAAATAACCGCCCTTCACAAAAACAGCCAAACCACAAAGTTGACAAAACAATGTCATCTAATGGTATTGATTGGGGGGGTGGGACAGGGAGGAACTCAAAGAGAGTTGAGTAATAAAGGTTGTTTTGATATTGCAAGAGTTGCACAAAATA